AACACGAGCGTTGATAAGAGATGATTTTTGGGCCGGATAGTGATGTGACCATGCATTAAGGAATCGGTATGTGTGCGTAGGTTTTCTGTAAACACAATGACTCAATGTTAGGTCTGATTTTCTATTGATAAGGATATCTAAGAAAAGGAGGTTATTATTAGTTTTCAACTCAATGGTAAAGCGTGTGTTGGGGTGTATAGAGTTTAAATGTCTAAAAAAATCTGCTAGCGTTTCTTGACCATGAAACCAAATAAAAAAAGTATCATCGACGTAGCGTTTCCATAATTTTGATTTTAGATGAAAGCGAGAGCTTCTCTCTCTAAATATATTCGCGATGACTGGTGATAGTGGAGAACCCATAGCTGTTCCCGACGTTTGTTAAATAATTTTACCGTTATAAAAAAATATGTTCTAGACAAGCATTTCGCAATTAAGGTAAGAAGAAGAATATCTTGTGTATCTAATGTAATGCTTTTTAATTTTTCAATGAAATGAAAGGAATTAAGTACGAAACTGTTAGTTTTCTCTGTAAGGGGTTTTAATAAAGAAGCTAGATATTTTGCTAAAGAGTATGTTGGAGAACCAATGGTGCTGACAATAGGTCGAAAGGGTAATCCTGGTTTGTGGATCTTTGGGAGTCCGTAGAGACGAGGAACTTTAGAGCCATGGGGTGACAGATTTTTTTACGGAGTTTGATAGAGAAAAAGCCTTAATAACAGATTTAAGGTTGCGATTCATATATGACGTAGGATCTTTTTTAAGTTGGCGATATGATACGTCTGTCAGAATATCTTGAATCTTTTCCTGATATTCATTTGTGTCCATGACCACCTTTATCTGCTTTTAGGATTACAATGTCTGGGTTAAATTTTACAGATTTTAGTGCAATTTTGATTTTTAATTTTTTAAGTTTGTTTAGGATTCACTCGACATTGGAAATGATTTCCCCTTTGGGATAATACGTGTTGCAAGAACTTTTGAAAGAACTAATTTTTCCGTTTCCGAAAGTTGGTGTGATGATATATTTTTTCCTTTTTTCCTAGTGTTGGCGTTAGTTTTTCAAATTTCTGAATGTGATTTTGGGTAGTAGGGTATCGAACTCGGATGGGGAGAAAATGGAGGAAATTTCAAGGTGTAGAGGCAGAAGAGCCTTATTGATTTGATCAATTTCCTTAAAGGTATGATGAATTCTTTCTCGAACTAAAGCGAAACTAGATTTTCGAAGAATTTTATAAGCGGATGAGGTTTTGACGTGATGGGATATTTTAAGAAAATTGGGGATAAAGTTATGGTCTCCACAATCTAACAAAAAGGTCAGTGTACAAAGTAATCTTACCAGTTTCAATCGGTGATCTTCTAACTTTCTGCATTTGCGTTTGATGTCCTCTCCATAAATGCTTGTTAATTTTTCAAAGAAACTTCCATAGGCTACTGTAATACTGGACACACTGGACATACTTATATTTGAATATTGATTAAAAAGCCTTTAGAAATATCCCGTAAAATTCTCACCAGGATAAATGTTTTGATGTGACAAATTTTATATTTAGTGAGTTGATTGAGATGTGTCGTTTTAAGGCGATCTTTGCGTTAATTAAAACGTCTTAATTCGAGTTGTGTCACAGAAAATTGTAGTGTTAAACAATCAAAGACCGAAAGAAATCTCGTGTTCAGTTTGGAATATCAAAGAGTAGCCGAGTATATTGCGAGAAAAAAAAATGCGGAAAGAAGTGCAAACTCCAGTGGTTCTTAAAAATGATTGAAGAGCAACGAAACAAATTTTTGGAAGCTATCGGACTTCAGGTGATTCACAAAGAGACGTTTTATTGCTGAGCTACATGAGCACCCAAATACCACAACAAACAACTTCCTCGAGCACACGAACCCACCTTGTATATGCATATTTTAACGAAAATGTGCACCGTCTGTGGTGAGCATCGACTTGGCCGCATTTCTAGGTCGATGGTAACACAAACTTTCCGCCTAACGAGATTTCGATGGCTTCCTGCCCGTAACAAATGACGGACGGAATAAAACAATATATATAATTGCGGAATCGAATGTCGTCGATTTTGCACCACGCTTCAATGTTTTTCATGTTCCACTGCGTTTGCTTTAGGTGGTACCAACTGAACCGAATTTGTAACGACACACGTCCATATGTAATTATACTTTGTAAGTATTATTCGACCAAGCGAAATAGATTCTAAACGGCCCATTTTACATTAATAAACATTCCCCCGTGAGACGTGCATTAACTTGATCAACTTAACGATTGCCGTTGATTAATAATTAATTAACGTGTACGGAGAAGATCAAAGAGAAAGCGCGACCAGTTCCACGGATTTCAAAGCGATGTATGTAAATGTTTGCAGCAGAAACGAAACATAAAAACATACGTTGCTATACTTAACACTTAATAATAATTACTATTTCATTAGACGACGTCTGTCGGCAATTAAATGAATAAATTTAAATGTCATCAATGCGGGGTTTGTTGTTTTTGGTCATTTTTTTGCGCATCCTTCACACGCGGTCACAGGAGCGGACTTAACAATATTATTAATTTAAAGTGTCAAGAACTAGACACGGTTTTTCCATATAACTTGTCACCCCTTTAAACACTTTATTTGATGAGATACAAAATAGAATATTTTGCAACAAGTTTTATAAACGACACTTAAATCAGAAGTTTGATTTGGTACCAACGGAGCAAGTATCTGAAAAAAATTATCTACATTTTGCGTAAATAAATAGATAAATGCACTGTATGTATATATAAAATGGTATGAATGTAGTAAAACGTTTATGTTGCAAAAATTAGATTTGCATTTTTATATTACGTTTACTACATGCTGAGTGACATTTGACAAAATATTCGTTGGTCCTGAAGACAGGAACAACACTAGAGTAGCATTTTTTTATGTAAAAAACAGTATTGGTATCTATAAGATGTGCCCATTAAACAATGTAATTGAAAATGTTTTTTATTTAACTTCTTTAGTTTATTAATAACATTATTATGAAGCTTGTATATATTCAAAGTGAAAAATATCTTTCAAACAACCTTTGTTAAAAATAATTTTGTGAATTTTTAAAAGAAACTTCCACAGGCTACAGTAATACTTTTTACAAAACTTATGGATTCCTACTGCGTCTGTTTTTGTTCACTCGAACTCGAACAAAGTCTGAAGAAGCCAACAGGATGATTGGCGAAACGTCAGTAATTTCGACTAAGCAAAAACCGACGCAGGAGGAATCCAGAAGTTTTGGAAAAAGTAATAATTTTGTGAGACACACAAAACCAGTTCGCTCGAAACGTAATTGTATCTTTTAATTTGAAACATGATCATAGTTTCTGAATGATATCAGCAAAATCGAAGTGGCACAAAGTAAGTTTTTTGAATGGAGATTTCAATTTTAAATCATTGTCTTAAATTTTTCCCAAATTACGAGCCTTGTTAGAACAGTTTAAATTTTCATTTTTTATTTGAAGTTAGCACAACTTCACTGCATTTATTTGCAGTTGATGATTTTTAGAGAACTCGTCTATCTTTTCAAGGTCCTGGTTTATGATTGTCTACTGCTAATGAGACAATGACAACTGACAAACATCAGAATATTACCAACATTGTTTGAAACCCAGAAACTCAAAAGATCATCCAGAAAAAACAAAAATATTATTATATTAATGTCTGAACTTAAGCTATTTCATTTTGTCTAGTTCTTTAAATTGGTGGCTATTTTGAAAAATAAATTTCCATTTTTTTGTGTTCTTCCTCAGTATACTAAAAAATTCTATATAAAACCTAAAACTTTGGTTCCAGCAACTTTTTATACTTAATTATAAAAGTAATAACAACGTCCGTTTTAAGATAAAAATACAAAAATACATACAATACAAGGTGTTGACTAGATGCCAACAAAGGACTTAATAGGCACTTTAACATCGCCAATGTTTTACCTTATAAAATAATATTGTATGAAATATTCTTTACAATGTTGTAATTGTTTAAGGTGAGAGCTGCTTGTAATATATCGTTTAACGCTACCACGATCAACGCAGTAATTTTTTTGAGCAACTCTTGGAAAAATGTACGGAATCTCCATATATACATCGAATTTTTAAGGGAAATGATATGTAAAAATTACTAGCCACTTTTTTCTGAAGAAAATTGACTTTTATAGGAAATCCAAAGCCTAGCTCATCAATAAACGCATATCCGAGTTATCTTTTTTATGCTAATTAATAATTTTGTTTATTGAAATACTTAGTACTTATCCTGATACAACTCAAGGTTATAATTATCCCATTAATAATCTTAAGTTCATTGTTTCCGTATTCTTGCTGATTTCTTCCCAGACGTTATAATTTGTAAGTTAAATAATTGCTATTATGTTATAAAGACTAAATATCTAGTGTCTTGCAGAGAAATGAAGTTAAATGTCAAAATGTCCATTTAAAATGGTACAAAGTAATGATACATTTTAAACATTATAGATTCAACCAAATGGGTGGATACTAGAACAAAATTTAAACTTTTAATAATGCAAATCAAGTTAATATACAACTTGAAATTGAACAACATCCTAATTTTTTTGGTGAATGAGGAAAAAATAACAAAAGCCTAAGACCAAAAAATTAGAAACACTAATAAATACATATATAGATAATTTTTGGTATATAGTGATTTGTAGAAAATTCAAAATTCAAAGGTTAATAATTTTTTGTAACAGTTGATTTGATCTTCGATAGGTTTAATCATAAAAACGTTGAATATTTTTTATTATTATGCGTGAAATATTCGATGTGAACAATCATATAGAAATAAACTAATTACGAGAGATACAAGAATAAGTTTGTATGTGTCCGTATAGCTGAAGTTTACACCAAAGCACACCGAGGCGTGAGCAAGCCCATTGCCTAAATAAAACACCCAACCCTTCACTAAGCCCGAACTCTTATGGGTATAAAAAAAGCACTTTTGTGTTTCTTCCAGGTTGTGCCTCGGAGCCAAAATGCCTACACTGCATCCCCAAAGGATGCATCAAATGTCCGGAATTAATAGTCTACCCCACCAGACAATGCGTGGAGAGATGTCCGTTCGGACACAACCCCAAATGGAGCACTATGGTGGACTTCATGGGACTTGTTTGCACGCACAACGGTAACCCGATGGGACTTTCGTCTGCCGCTCTGACTGTCTTAACCGGAGTGCTTTGTGGAACAATACTGTGCGTGTTTCTATTCGCCGTGGCCGTGATATATATCAAATACAGGCGGAAAAATACTCCCCAATTGAGTGACACCAGTTCCGAAACGGACGATACCCCCGAAAGAAAGGACTTTTTGAAGAGACTAGAGACTTTAAGACCCTATTCGCAAGATTATCTCGACATGGTGAACGATACGCGACGACAGTTGAGGCAGCTGCACCGGGAGGGCGACAATAGCGCTATCTCCGCTTACAAACCAGTACTACGTGACTTAGCTAGGATACTTGTACTTTTAAATAAATCTCCAGATACAGTGGGAATTCCTGACGATTGGGAACACCTGTTTACCTGGGCGGAAAAAACTTTGAAACGGTAATGACTATAAATACATATTTTTAAAATTTGCCGCTGTTTGATTCATACATAAATTTAACATAAGTTTTTCTAGTTGTTTTCATTTGGTAAAGGAAAAAAATAATGTTCAGAAACAGTTGAAAATTAGAGGTGGTCGACAACATGAAAGATATAAAACTATTGAAGATTGGACACCCAATTACAGCATTTTACGATCCTTCAAACCATACAAGATAATCTTGAGCTATGATTTTTCTCTAATCTGGACTTGGGCCTGACAATGTCCACCGTAGTTTACCGATTAATTATTCTTTTGTGTTGGTAAAGCCAACATTATTTTTAATAAATCCGTGAAAACTGATTACTTTCCATTAGTATTATCAGCTCATTTTCAATTTTTTTTAAAAAGATCAGTAGCCTTTTCTCATTCGAAAAATATTTTTTCAACAATTTGAATTTCGTCAAGAATACTGACTACATACCGATCATATTTCGAGTTCTTTGGACACAACTCAGGTCGTATGTGTTCAAAACTTTTTGTGTCTTGAAATAATAATAATTCAAGAGTTTATTCTATTTGACTTAAGTATTCCTAGCTTCTTGTCTAGATTTCAGCTAACTTGAGGATGACTTGAATAGGTTTGTACTGTGGTGCAACAGAAATACCATTCGAAAATAATACGTCCACAATTAAGATGTTAAGTAAGATCGCGTTCCCACTTTAATATCAACTGCTGTATAGATAATGAGTTTTTGTAGTCAGTAAGCTCTGTTCATTTATTGTGAACTATTGGGAAGTTGGCCAAAAGTTAGTACTAAACTTTGCAATGGAAAACAATCGGTAAAGTTTTGTCACCTTAACTTGATATTCTGTTGGCAAATCATAAAAATAACGCGAAAGTTTTTTTCCGCCGCCATTTTCTACCTGAGTTAACGATCTTATTCTTATGTCTGATTTAATAGGTACAAAAGGATGAGCGAATCTTCGCAGCCTCAGGTGGCGCAGCTTATCAGTTTTCTTCAATCGCCGATAACACCGTCGGAAATCGAAGAGCCGGACTATTCCGTGAGAGGCAGCACCACCATGAGCACCTTCAAGCCGGACCAAATGTTTGGTTCGTCCCTGAGCCTCTCAGAGGCTGCAATAAAGACTTTTAATTACAACTACGATAAATACCAACAGAGCGCACTGAATCCGCAGTGGAAATTTGAATATTCACTTGTTGGTACCACATCGGAATTTAATCCCGAATTGTGGAAGAACAGTAAAGAGTACCTGGGCCCCCTGTTTTTGGAGGACGATTTTCATATGCTGGGCTTCAGACCTCAGGACGAGATAACCACAGAATTGTGAGCGAAAGTGATAACATAGAGCCGTCACTAAACACAAAACGTATCAAGAGGTATTAATCTCCTAAAGGTTGTTCTTAGTTATTCACATTTTGAGGTGGTGACTTTATTTACCGCAATTTTCAAAAGTTTCTTGAAAAAAAAAAATTTAAAAACTTAAAATTTTAGTATCTTGAAAAGTGTGATAAATAAGGGACACTATTGCGACATCCTGTATATCGCGGTCCATTGAACATTTATCGCATTATTGCGGAAATAAAATTTATTGATATATATTTTTTTGTGAAATTTATACATATATAGCATATTAGGTAAACTGCGAATTTTCGTTTTTTCATTTAGTGCAGCTCACATTGGATCATCTATTAGAAGCATATCGGTCAACCAAAATCCCTTGACGACCAATACTTGATCCTTGAAAAGCAGACCTAGATATCAGTTTGAGGAGGAATTGTTAAGACTTTTTTCCCATTTCTTTTTCCTTAGATAATACAGAGTCAAAATAAAAAAAAAGGTTTTATAAGGAAACATGATTTTATACTGAGCACAATCGAGTGGTGCTTTCCGGTTTTAATATCAATTTTAGAGCCCAGTACTCACAGGAACCATTTGTAAAATAATACAGGTATTATGGATAACTGAAGCACCTCTAGTATAAACCAAATCATACTAGTCATAATTTTAAAAAAAAATTAGTTTGTGTAATCTATACAAATGTAATATTAGTTTTGTTCCCAGTGTATTTTTTACACCTGAATTTAGTATAAGTATTAGCTGTTGAAATTTATTTAATTCCAGTACATATTTTTGTAAAATTGTTTGTAAATAAAACGTAAACTTCTATTTACTTTGTTTTTTTCATCCGAAAATAAGAAATCTAACTCATAACAAATCGTGGCACAGGGAAGCAATAAACAAATGGTTTGCATATAGTAATCTGACAAAAGACTCAAATAAGGCTTATAAGTTATTTAAATGTTAAAAAGCTAACTAAAAAGGGAAATACAAATATTTTTTTATTTTAATTTTCTTACTAAATGCCAAAATGACACGAAATCAGTACGAATGACCACTTAAAGAAAATAAGGTGTCACGTATTCCTACTTTTTGACGTTGGTTGTGACGCCATCTATCAATGGCGTCGCTACATTATTTTAGGAATGAGAACCGAGGCAGTTGTTTTCTGTTTTTCATGATTGAATAAAACTAATTTTGATTTCGTGAATATAGAGTTGCCTACGTCTGAATCGTTATGATTTCATATTCTACCTCATAGATTTCGATTTTGTTTGAACATAATAATTTTTTCATTTCCATTTATTCATTTATGTATGTAGAATAGAGAAATGAATGTCCACTTTATGAATGACGCACTACGCAGCTTTGAATTTTCCCTTGTACAATCAACCAATCCATTTCCATGCTGTAAGCAACCATGCAAGGAACAAAAATTATTCATTTCACGTTTTCGCTTGCCCGCCTAGTTTTCGTGGTTTCATATTCCGCCGGTCAGTGACCAAAGTACGTGTAATGCGGTGCATCGGTTTGGGAACGCATTGAAAAAGTGTGTGTTTTGGGCTTCATTTTCGGATTTTTTGTAAAAAAAAAGGTAGATGAATAGCTGCTTCCGTCTGTCGGCGTTTTCATTTTGGCAAACAAACTCTCGAAATTGTGGTTAGGCTATTTCTGAACAGGCGTTGCCCCACGAAACAAAAGACTAGTGGGGGATTGACAGGCCCGCAACATTTGTTTTGACAGAATATTCGTAAATATTTTGATTAATTACGCTTGCAATTGTTTGCAATTGTATACAGTTTTTGAAATTTCCGCTATAACGCGTTTGTAATTTATTTTTGTAGGAAATCTGCGAATAATGTTCAAGTTTATAAAGGGGAAGGGGCCCCATCAAACTGCCGAAAGACAGAGGCTCCAGAAGGAATTATATTCCTATAGAAGGGTGAGTGATCACAATATCTCTGATAGTATATTAAGTGACTAATGCTAATGTCCCGAAATTATTCATGAAAGTGAATATTTTTTATAACCTCTACCTCATAAATAAAGCTTTATCAGTATTTTTATATCTTATCAAAATTAAATATTGCTAATGGCATGTGTAACAACTATTTAATTTAATTATCTTCAGAAATTTAAAATATGTATACCCATAGATCAAATAATAAACACATTTTTCTCATAATATTTTGTGTCAATGCCTTAATTGTATTATTATTATTATTATTATTATTATTATTATTATTATTATTATGTTTTCTCAAACATGAAATCTTACACAGTTTCAAGGCATTATTAATTCAAGCACTGGCATATAATTGTTGCATTACATAGCTTGTTAATGTGCGTAAGACATTAACGACTTCCTCTAGTGGCTGGAATTGTTTTTTGATCCTATTTCAATTTACATTGTAATATGTTGTTAGACGCTATTTAACAACAGATGCATGAACCTTCACTTTTGATTTTGTTGCTCCGTAGAATTTTATGGAAGTTTATTTAATTGAATTATGAAAGAAATAGCTTCGCAAGGTTCAAAACACTCCCAAGCAGGTTAGAGAAGCAATGGTCTACCGATACGTATCGCGATTTGTTATATCTACTCCCAGAACTATTATTTTCTGTGGCAATATTTTCCCACTGTAAATAATACCAATACCGTTTGCTGTTGTGGGCGAAATATCACGTTGAAATTGAATTCGGTTTCTCTAGGTCATCAGTTTTATTTTTCTTATATCGAATGTTGCTTCAGATGTTTCAGTGTTTCAACTGTTAAATATTCACTTAAGGTCAATATTAATGTCATTTCATCGGTGGCCATTAGTCGAAACGCTTATTGTTTAATAGTAGAAAATTAAGGTCTAGAAGTAAAAAATATTGGATATTTAAATTCAGTTCAATTTAATCTATTCATCATCATCATTTTTACACAGTTTACTTATTTAACCAGTCTTATAGAGTACAATGGACCATATGTATGTACATCGGTGCAAAGCAAATATAAATACGCAATGAAGAGGTGAGAACAGATAATTTTAACAATCCATGTTCTAGAATCTAATGCTACCAAATGGAACTGCAAACTGTTTCTGCAAATAAATGTTTTTACGAAGAATAAAATATACTTCCAAACTATTTCAACTCAACACAATGACGTCGCAAATTTTACATTCCAAAATTACAGTTTATTGCACCTGAAGTCGATCTTAAAACAATTTTAATCGTAAACAAAAAACGCCCAGATCCTATCGAGTGTTGCGAAAGGAGAGGCGCGTCTCTCTCGTCGAGAAAACGAGGAAGCGGGCAACGCGCTTGCATTGAATCAGCCACGGTCAAAAAAATCATCCGCATGAACCGTTATCTACAGAGTCTTAGTCATAGGCCCCGTCGTTCAAACGCTCTTTAATTGAATATTCGGGCCTCGTACCTGTGCATCACGTTTCGCTGGAAACATCGAAAATCCGGATTGTTTATAAAGGTGACACGAGTTATAGTTTCGATTCGAACGTGTCGCGTGACGTGACGTCGCTTTTTTTTCGCACTAAACGTGACTATTATGCATTTTATTATTTATTTTTTACAAATATAGTAACGATTGACAGTAACTTTATTTTTTCATTACTATACGATTGCGTCTGCAATATAATATTAGCAAAGTTGGAAAATGCCATTTTAGTCATGAGCGTAGCGGAGCGAGTGATTAATAAGCGAGTAATTGAATAAGTTTATCAGCGGGCTGCATATACTATACTTTTGCAACTACCATTTCTGCAAAACAGGACAACTACATTGGTCGTGTGATGTCTGACATGACCTGTTCGTCTTTGCGATCCAGAAAATCCGTTGTGGCTCTCTTCATAGCTATAGAGCTTTATCTAGGTTCGTCTCTGATTAGAGGTCATCGCTTCGATAGTGGCTCCTTGTCGCTTACTCACTCTAAATAGTTCTTCACATTGACTTAAGACTCTCTTCTCAGAATCTGCTTTCAGTGTTTTCTTCCAGTCCCATTAGGCTTAGGTGTCTCTTAAGCCCACAATGGTCAGCAGTCAGGGGATCTACCACTATTGTTACAGCTTTTCTTTTGTATCTTTAGTTGCTGTAAATTTTACTGATTAATTTCCGAGAAATTATTTGGTTTGTGTAGATTATTGCAATTGTTTTGAATTATGTTTAGGGATAAGGTAGTGAGTCGCGCTAGTGTGCAGCTCACAGCTTGAAGGCCGCATACAAAGTGTAACAAAAATTTAACAAAATTAACAAAAATATATTTATCGCTTTCTCACTGTCACTATAAATCGTCATGTTAAATTTTAAAGGAATTGACCGGCTTCGATGAATTATACTAGGTTTTTCTCTCTGTTTTCTACATTCTGCAGAAACAGTGCCTCAAGATTATAATAGTCCACTTTGAAGATGCTCGCACAGTTTGTCTTTTTCTGTATGTACCACCATTGTCGATATCCATTTTTTGCAATGGGTTTTAGCCACCCGACATTAGGATTATGGTCTAATCATGCACCTTGGCGAGAAGTACCACTTTGCGCGTGTATGTTAGAGTAAGTGGTAAAAAAATATTATAGTCTGTTGCATTGGAATGCAGAGTAATAAAACCTAATTTACGCATGCCAAGAATTGCACTTGGAATATTTCTACAGTTTGCTACTGTGCTATTCGTACTATTCGATGGCATTCTACCTATTTAATATAAATTTAATGTAATGCGTGTGTTTCTTAAAGAGCTTATGTCGTCTTATACAAAATTCGTTTTCAAAAATTGTGTAACTTTTTAATATAAAAAATACTGACCTATTCTCACTCATTAGTTTACATTATTATTATTGTACCCAAATGTAATGTCACCTAATACAGTTGCTTTAAATCACTTGCAATTACAAAAGGAGACCCAAGTGATTTACACTATGTGAGAAATAATTATTTCTCACAGTTCTAGTCATATACTAGATATATAAGAGACCTTCTATAATAAAGCCAAAAGATTTTGGAAAGGAACATACAATAAGACCTTGCGGCACTGCGGACTGTTTTTAGTTTGGCTTATACATTTTGTCTCAACATATGTGTTGTTTAATTTTCAGCGAAAAAAGGATTTAGGTGAGTGGAGATAGCTATTTAAAAGGGAATCGCTCCACGTGTCCGTGAATGTATTAAATTAAGGAGCATGCGCAAAAACGTTAAATCCGCGGTGTATTAATGAACCCTATATTATCTAGTAGCTATCCCACTGTGAAATGTTCTGCGACGAAAAGAGAAAAACTTTGGGAACAACACTAAAACAATGAAAGGCGATTTTATAGTTCTAGCATTCAAGAAATAAATTTATTTGACTTAATTAGAACAATGTCGTCATCATTGAGAAAGAATTATTCAGATGTTGTAAGGTGCATTAATTAGTCCTTATTGCTCTTTGATATAAGTCAAGGTTTCCATAGGAATTTCAAAAAAATCCTTTGCCTCGAGACATTATGAAGGAGATACGGCCTAATAATTCCGAGCGGAAGACGAATTACCGACCAAAGTTGCTAAACTTTATAACGTTGAGAAAAATGCGCGTCAGTTGCGGCATTGTGCTATCGAAGATGAGTTCTTGCCACATGTCGGTATTTTTAACATGTATTTTGGCGTAATGAGATTGATCGATGGAGTTGGCGGCCAATGTGTAGATGTAAGTGAAGTTGGTTTGAAATTTTTGAAGTTATTCAATAATTATTAGACCGCAGAGTTGCCGTTTCTTGTAATGGAATGCACGCGGGCAAATTAAAAGCTTCTGCCTGTAGCTATACGTAATTAGTGTGTGATGTTGTAATTACGAATGAGAGTCTCCAAATCGAAGAAAATGCAATGGTTGGTGTCAAACGCTGGTTAAAGTATGTCTCATATTACATATTATATATCGGGCGAATTTGTAAACTCAACAAAAATTTTAAACTTAAGGGAACTGTTGGTAATGTTCAAATTTGCATTAATCCGCTATATGTATGTGTGTTTGCCTTATTTGTAATTGTCTTATTTTTAATACCTCCTTGTTGCTTGCAAGAACTGTATTAGTAGCTATAATACTTGTAGGTTATACATTTTGAATTTATAAAACTTTTAATTTGAATGTGTCTGACAACAAATTATTTTGGTTTTGTTTATTGATTTCTAATCGTTTAGTAGGAACTGGGGATATAGGGAATGTTATATAAATTCTTGAAGGAATGGAAAGATAAATTCATACACAGGGCGATCCAAAGGAGAAATATAGTTTTTCTTTTTGCCTGTATATTGATGATTTTTCAAATTTTGTTTATATATAGAAAAAAGTATTTTTCGGTATTATTTAATCCAATTTTGGATTGGAAACTTAAGAAATTAAAAAAGAGACAACATTATAGGCCATCACACTGTACGATGTTTACGCAGAGCCAGATGGGAGGATTTTTGGTCCGGCGACTTTACAAGACTCGTTCATATGTATAATCAAATGATATCTGATCTGATGAATTTATTGATTTCGTCTGTTGGGTCGTAAAGAATACAAATTCTATTGGTACGCAATGAAATATAATCCAATAATTATTATGCAAGCAACATGGTATTCGCATTCTAAACAAACGTTCAAATTTTTTTCGAAATGCATAAAAGCTCCTACTACCAGTATATTAAGTTACCTATTGTGAGTTGTATTTTGTTAATGTACTTAAATTCCGCTTTTTAAAATGCTTACTAATTGTGATTGTGAGCACATATTTTGACGTTGATTGTCGGTGATTTTCAGTTAAACGTGATTAAAATCTCAAACTTCTTATTTAAACATCGTAGTAAAATGAAAACCAACGTTGACAGGTCAACATCGTATCGATTAATGGAAAATTAGAAAGTTTGTTTGTTACCAACACCCTCTATCGTCATTCTTCATTCACTTGTCACTTGTCTTTTCTC